ATTTTTTATTTCATGAACATCTATTTGATATTCCGATTTTTTTCTATGATATGCAAACAATATTTTGAAATCATGAATATTTTATGACTTCTCAATAAAGCTCGCAACTTTTCGAAATTTGATTCTTTTCAAAATCCGTAATTAATTTAAAGAAGAAAAAATAGAAACAGAAATAAGAAAGTAAAAAGCAAAAAAGAGAATAGAAAACAGGGCCCACCACCAGCCAATTATGGGCCTGCCCATTAGCGCCTGCAGGAGGAGGAGGCGCGCCAGGTACATTTTTTTCTAGTTCCAGACTATGTTTGGAATACTGGATTATTTTTTTAAAAAACATGGTTTTTTATTTCATGAACATCTATTTGATATTCCGTTTTTTTCTATGATATGCAAACAATATTTTGAAAACATGAATATTTTATGACTTCTCAATAAATCTCTGAACTTTTCGAAATTTGATTCTTTTCAAAATCCTGAACTAATTTAAAGAAGAATAAATGAAACAGAAATAAGAAAGTAAAAAGCAAAAAAGAGAATAGAAAACAGGGCCCACCACCAGCCAATTATGGGCCGGCCTATTAGCGCGTGCGGGTGGAAGACCTGCGCTTCCTACGGAGCCAAAAAGGAGGAAAAAGTGTTGGAACCAAGGATCGAACGCTGGTCTCCCGCGTGCTAGGCGTAAGCCTTGGCCATTGGGCTACTTGTGCTCTTGTGTTGTATGAGTGTATCATTCTATAAGAACTAAGTCGTCGGTGATTTTGAAATAAATCCGAATCATCATTTTACTTATGGATGGCATAGTGGGTAATTTATGCGAACTTCGAGGGTGATTTCTATGACGGACGACCAGAAACACTATTTGCTTTATTAGTAGGTAAAGATAATTTCATATATATATATATAGTTATAAATCAATGACATAGAACTTAGATGTATGCAATACTTAGAGCCACACATATAGATGTGCTTCAGCAAAACTGAATTTCATATAAGCCTCAACAATATGGATACAGCGAACAACCTATGCTTAGATAGTTATTCGAGGACAGTGGTATCTCCGGTCCACCAGAGTTCAAGTTCTAGACTTCGCATTGGTGCTCTGCCGGCTTGGTCTTTCGAAGGTGTTCATATGGGTAGGGTGTGCGTGCGTGCATTCATAGTGATGAGTGTATGCTCATGTATGTGAGCGACTTTGATTATAATGTGTTTAAAAATATATACGGATACAAGCTGTAGAACCCGATCATACATGCCATAGGAATTGCGGTTCATCGACTATGATAGACATGATATTTTTTTTATGTGATGCTCTTGGTTGGTGGTTTAGCCGCTCGATGATGACATTTGGTAGCATGACCCTATGCTTGTCGATGTCTCTTCAAGGTGCACCTATGGTCAAGTGTCTACCAATTTGCTCTGTTTGGCGCGATGATGTGATCTCTGATTGGTTTCATCGGTGGGAGCGAGGATATTATCGACCTCATGTGCTCTGAGGCTTTGATGTTGTCCCGCCTGGGTAATTGTTCCCTGACCATCGTTGTGCCCTCCTCTGCGCTTCAGGTGCTCATTTTAGATGAGTTGCCTGCTTCCTTGGAGACCAGTGAGGTCATTGTGGAGCGCATCATGGAGCCTTCGGTAAGCCCGATGTTGTGGTTGGTTCTCAAGCTCACGAGAGGCATGTTGAAGATGATGTGATAAAGATTGGTGCACAATCAGTTTTTATGGAGGAGTTTCTCGGTGAGGTTACTCGCCTGAACCCCACCACCACGACTTGGGACCCAACGCCGTTGCAGGTGGAACAAAGATGGTGACTCTCACATGGAGCAGTGTTCCGGGTGGCTTGATAAGAAGATGGCATGCAATATTCTAACGAAAAAGTGTGTGGAATGTTGGATGATGAAGGATTTTGGTGAGTTGCTAGAGGTGAACAG